ATCGAATCGCTTCGAATCGAATCGAATTGATTTGCAGCTACGAACTTTGATATAAATAATTACGATTAACTTGAGATAATCGTCAGATAGCAGTGAAATGTTAAATGAGTCAACAGCGCTCATGTTAACATAGCTGCTAAAGCCATGTAAGCTATTCCAAGTTAACAGCGCTCTGTTAAATTCAAAATATATAAATATGAAATTAAATATCGTGTTAATTTTTATCATAATTAAAAATTATTATTAATTTGTTAATTTATATAAGAATTTTTAATACCAAAATCAAAATATTTTGGAAATAATATTTAAATATTTTAAATTTTGTTTTAATGAGTTAATTTGAAATTTAATTTTAATTTATTTTGTATTTATTTTAAAATAACTTCCCTTGTTCAGGATAACAAATAAATTCTGAAATACTCTTCTAAAGCACCTCAAAGTATGCAATGCGTAGCTGTAAGATTCCTGAGTAGAACCCAATTAATGAGCAAGACCAATTGGAACTTCTCACTCAGCAACGCAGCCGCTCGCACTCACACAAAACTGGGAACAGTTTGTGCATTGAGTTGGCGCACACGCAAACCACACTCGAAGCGTGTGGCGCGCGCAAACGACTCAAGAGCGCAGCAAATGTCACTCAAAGGCTGTGAAGAGCTCAGCGCTTAGCTGCGATCGCAGTTCCAATAAGACTCTTGTGTCGTAGTAGCGCACATGTGCGTAGGTGCGAGAGCTTAACAGAAACAATCATACAGCGAGAAAGAGAGGAAGAGAGAGTGTGTGTGACGGCAGAATGTATGTCTGTCTAGCTGTTAACTGTGATCTTGCGACGTCTGGAAGCTGACTCACACATTGCATACACATGCTTGCATGCGTATGCGTGTGTATTTGCATGCATATAATCAACGAGGACGACGTCATCGGCGTCTCGTCTGGTTCTGTTATTGATTCTTTATGTTGCTCACACTATATATGTATATCAATATCTCTCTCTCTCTCTCTCTTAACTGGTTTTTCTGCGGCTATTGTTTTAGATATGTTAAATTGATATGCAGACATTCGGTTCGCCGGTCTCTTTGGCATCGCGTGTGAGCCGTCACCTAATGAAGATTCATTCTGATTTGAATAGCATTAGCAGCGGGAGTCGTATTTTGCCGTTAGATTCCAATTGGAACAGTAGAGGCGTAGCCTAACACTCAACTTCTTTCAGTCTCCCTCTCTCTCTCTCTCTTGATCGTACTTCATTCCTTCAATGCGCCAATCCCTGTGCGCTTGCGTTTTTTGCGCTACCTTTGCGACCTCCTTTTCCTTTTTCGGTCGCGCACACACACACACACACATACACAAAGAGAGACACAGACACACCCTGGCAAAGCCTTGAACACGTTCTTGGAACAGGCACAAAAGGTGCAGCGCAAAACGAGTTCCAGTTGCTGCTGCCGGTCAGCATTTGCGTGATTTACTTTTGTGCTGTTCCACAGCATCCAGCGATCGACGGGCGAAACTTTAACATTTGCTTTTGTGCTCCTTCTTCCGCTCTGCCCCCTGTTCCCCCACTAGGTCTTGCCTGGCGCTGCTTTCAGTTCCAATACCGAACTTTAGTTCGGTCAGCTGCGACTGCGACGACGACGGCGACGGCGACGTCTGCGTCTGCGCAACTTTTGATTTTGCCTGAAACCGGTTTTCCAGTTTCCCTTCTCCCCTGCGCCCAGCCCCTCACTCAACTCAAGTCGTGTTTTTTCTTTCATTTTTGTTTCTGTGGAGTCTGTGTGTATCTCAGTCTGTGGCTGTTTCTACCAACTGACCCCCTGAGCAACCCACAACGCAACGCAGCGACACAGCCGACAAATGTTTAGTTAATGATCTTGTGAAGTGTTTTTTTTTTTTGTTGGCTTCAAGTTAGTTTCTTAAGATCATCTTAAGATCTCTATGTGAGAGCTGAGGTAATTTCTTAAATTGGTTAGGATTTTTTAAACTCATATATGAATTATAATATGTTATTATATTATATTTATTATGTATAAATTGTTTTTTTTTTATTTACAAAAACAAATTGATTTTTTGGAAAAGCCCGTTATTTGTTAACAACTCAATTAACTTGTTTAAATTTAAATTTTAATTCATTTTCTTCTCTTAATTTTTAACAATTGCAAGTCGAAAACTCATTAAAGATTTGCCTAAACAAAACCAGCTAATAGCCAGTTAAACCTGAAACAGCTGTCAACCAAATTACGTTGCTAAGCGAACAAATGATCTCGATTTCAATTTCGATTTTGAACTTTTTGCTGCCTGGGCCAACCAGCTTCCCATATGCATATGTATGCATGTGTGTCTGTGTGTGTTTGCATTGAAAACTTTTGTGTTGCTTTTGCCATACTCCAGTTATGTTTCGCTCTCTGTATATGGGTGCCTGTGTGTGTGTGTGTGTGTGTGTGTGTTGGCATGTGCCCAACTGCAAATGCGGCATAAGTAAAAATCGTCTGCTCTTTTCTTTTTCATATTTTTCTTCTTATTTCGCTGCTTTGCTTTTGCATAATGAATGAGTGCAGAGGTGGCTTAGCGCGCATGCATGTGCCTGTGTGTGTATGTGTGTGTGCGTGCAAGCTTTGCTTCTTAGGCAACGGTAACAGCAGCAGCAACAAACGCTCAACCTTTCACTTGCCCTCGAGGTAACAACAGCCGTTTCAGCTTCCATGTGGTCGGCCGCATTGACTTTGACTACAACAAAACTTACATTTCCAAAACGATTTTATAAATAGCACTGACACACACACACACATACGCAAGGAACTTCTAATGATATGAGGCAAAAGCAAAAAGAAAAACGATAAACAATGGCTGCGACTGGGCGCTGCGGGGGCGTTGTGATCTCTCGCTCACGCTCTCCCTCTCCCTCTCTCTCCCGCTCCCTCTCACTTGACTTTGGATCCGGCGTTCTCTTCAAGTCTTTTCTTCTATGCCTGCTTTCACTGTTGTTGTTGCTCTGTTTGTTAACAGCAGTTGCCGCTGCTCTGCTAATTAACAGCAGCTGCTACTGCTGCTGCTGCCATTTCCAATCAATTCACATTCACCTTTTATAACACATAAATAAATACATTTTTGTTTATGTCTTTTTATGGCCTCTTATTCTCTGTGGGGGTGTCCCTGTATATGCATGTGTGTGTGTGTGTCTGTGTAAAATTTATGACATAGAAATGTCAAAATTTGTATGCACTAAAAGTGCCCGAAATGAACGGTACTTATAGCTTTTTTTTTTTTGAGCTATTTTTGGGCGCCCATTGAAATGTCAAACTGAAACATTGCATATCTATAAATATATATATTTAGAAAACTAAATATGAGTGCATTTTGAAATATTGAACTATTTTTGAAGGTGACTTTGAGGACTTTTCAAAATTGTATTTCGTTAAATATAAATGTATATCTAAGCCAGCTAGAAAAGGTATTAACTGTGCTAATTAACTGCTGCTGCATTCACTTTGAGTGGTTATTGTAGCAGCGGCTCAAGTTGAACTCAATTAATTCGTGTTGCTCCTGTGACTGCTCAGCCCTTGTCGTCAGCTGCTCGTTATAACTCACTCAAACGCTTTGCAAAAGTCACTCCAGCACTGCTAGCGCTCAACTTTAACGCGCTCTTAACTTAATAGCAGCGCGCGCTCTCTCGCTCTCTCCTACTCTGTCTCAGTCTCTCGCTCGTGGTTGCTCGCACTCCAGCAATATAGCTGTGAGCCAATAAGAGCAACAGCCGTCAACACTGGCCTCCGTTGCAGACGAAACCATGCAGAGAGCGCGAGAGCGCAAGAGAGCGTAGCGTGGCCGTTCGCTCGCTGCCGCTGTGGCTGCTTTGGCTGTCGCCGATTGGAATTTTTGGTGCATAACAGCGCCCTAACAGCGAACGAACAGAAGCAAAAACAACACCGAGCAAGGCGGACGTGTGTGTCGCATTTTGTTAATAAATTTTTAGAATTTCTGTACAAGAGAGCTAAACGCAGCTACCACAAACGCTGTCACAATTCATTCAAAACAACAAAAATTCGATAATAAATACGAAAATAATTCATAAATTCTGTTAAATATATAAATCGTGCAGAGTTGCCTTGCTCGTAGTATTAAAAAAGCAAAATAAGAGGAAAAATAACCGAAATAAGTGTTGAGAAATATACGTAAAAAAAGCAAAGAAAAACAAGAAAATAGTAAATCCAAAAAAAAAAAAACAGTTAAGAAAATAAGCTTTAATTATGCAACATTATTAACCAATTCAAGAAACAACGCAGCAACATTTGACGAAAATCGCGCGCGTTTCAACAGCCGCAACAACAGCAACGACAACAACAACAAATAAACAGCTGTCAACAAAATAAAAGAATTTTGTGTGTGTGTTTTTTATCAACAACAAAGCAAAGCGAAGCGCGACTTTTTTTCGTGTTTGTGTACGTGTGTGCGTCTCCTCTGTGTGTGCGTGTGTGTGTTGTGCCGCCGCCGCCGTTGTTGTTGTTGCCTGTCAATTTTTGACGTCTCCGCGCTGCAAGTGTATAGGTGCGTGCGTGTGCCTCTCGCTGTCGCCTCTGTGTGTTAGTTAGTGCCTATGTGCGTGTGTGTGCGAGTGTCTCGCTTCATTTTGTCTTTGGTGTCAGTTGAAGAGAAAGAAAACGAATAAATAGCTCGAGCGGAGTGGAGCGGAGTAAAAGGAAAAAGTGTGCTTCAAGTCAAGTCTTATGTTTTTGCCGGCATTTTAATGACGTCACGTCAAGCAGCGCAGTAACAGCAAAAGCAAAAGCAGCAGCAGCAGCAGCAACAGCAACAGCAGCAGCAGCAACAGCAACAGCAGCAGCAGCAACAACAACTGCAAAGTCAGCAAAACCACAAGAAAGAAAAATAAAATAAAGTAAAAAGCCCAAAAACGCGTTTCTTCTGCTGTCGCTCGCTCTCTTTCCGCTCCCCGCGCACCATCACTCTGTCTCGCTCTAACACACACTCAGCTGCTCTGTGTGTGTGCAAAAGAAGTTAAAAATTATAACAGCAAATCAAACGAAATTAGCAACAAAAACTGCAACAACAACAGCAACTGAAGGAGAGAATCGAATCGAACCGCATCGCATCATCAGCTGCTTCTCAAGGTGTTTATTTAGCTATAATTCACATCTAATTTAAAAATTCAAACGTGTCTTAAATAAGTTCCCCTTTTATTACTAATATCCAGAGTTTTACCCACACTTGAAAAGGTTTTTTTCATGAATTTCTATTTGAGCTTTTCGTCGAGTTTTATTGAGAATTTTTTTATAATGTGTTTAAAATTATGTTTAACAAATGTTGAAATTATGTTTAACTTGTAAACATAAATATTTTTAAACATTTCTAAGTCTGTCAAAAATTAAGTCTAACATATGTTAGATTAATGTTAAATTTCCAATATTTACTTTGCATTTACAAAGCTTTTTGGCTTATTTGTGTAAAAAAAATATCTGAAATATTAATTAAAAATTATAACTTAGTCAAAGTTTCGTATGGGATATCTATTAAAATTTCATAGAAAACATTTTAATAATTTAACACAAATTTATAAAAGGTATATTTGAAGAAAAGATATAAGATAAAAAAAATATATCTATATAAATGTGTACAAATTTATAGTTAGCTAAAAGACTTAAATTATTTAGATAAATATAGAAGTCTTTATTTTCACAAGCTTAAAAAATTCATTATACCGTTTTCACTTACTTTTTTTAAAGTCTTTTTTAGTGAAAACTTTAGTTAGGAATTGCCCAATTGATCTATACATAAAATGTATTACATTAATGTATTAATGTACAAAATGCAAAATTGATTGAGTTTTGCTATTTATTATTACTATTTATTTTAAAATTTACGGACAAAAAAATTATTTTTAAAATAAGAAATATTTTTCTTGTGACTGAAATCATTTTATTTAACAATTTCTTAAACATATATATATTATATATTATATATTATATTTTGCAATATTTCATTTAAATTTATTTTCGCTTGAGAAAATATGTATTAAAATCTTTATAAACTAAATATGTTTTTTTAAGATTTTGAAGCATCTTTTCACAATTGAGAAATAATTTTTGAAAGTTCTTGGAATGTTAAATATTATTTGGCATATAATTAAATGGAAACATAATTGTTCTCCATAATTAAAGTCGTTTTAAATTTAAGAAAAATCCTCAACTTGACAAGATAAACTAAGTTCAATATTTCTGTTTCAAATTTTATATATAATATTTAGTTTCAACATGAAAATTGCAGATCTGGGCTTAAAATTTATAGTTTTTGAGCTTAAAATTATTTGCTTTTAATTGATTTATTCATAAGGCAATAGGCTCTTATAAATATGTTGATGAATATGAAAAAAAAAAAAGATATGAAAACCTTTTTGGCCCGCGGCTCTGCTCTGTCCGCTCATTCGCGCAGGCTAATGAACTGAGTGAGCTATTAAAATGTAGTTTATCAGCAAAAAAGAAGAAAAAATATCAATAAGTATATAAATATACTTATATGGTATATATATATATATGGTGTTTATTATATATATATATATATATATATATATATATATGCTTATATATTTATAGATAAATATGAAGTCATCTTTTGATGCTTCTGAACTTTATTACTAATTAATCATTTGGCTCAGGCGAGTTCTGTTTAAGTCCAAAAACTTGGCTTATGAAGCGCTCCACAAACTAACTGAGCTGAATTTTAAGTTGGCCACACACATACACCCACGCACACACAGACAACAAATCATGCTTAAACTTAATGCAAATTTTGCTATTTTTATTCGTATGTAAAGACTCGGGCAAGGCCTAGGCTACAAATTCGTTCTCCCTACCATGTTTTGCTATGCTCTTCCAGTGGGTATGGTAATTTGGTTATAGAAGAAGATCATGCGAATATATCTTTACTTATTTCAACTAAGATAAACTTAGACTCTTTCTTTATATTCAAGAGTATAGTATAATCAATACTATATAATATCATGTGTAGTATGCCAGTTAAAGCTATAGTTCAGCTAAAGTCATCGTAAAGCGTATTTCAGTGTCGGCGTGTCGTAATTTTTTTTATTTTATTTGTATTTACTTTTATTTTTTGCTTTACTTAACGCGAGATTTTACGCGAGATATTTCGCATTGTTGTTGGTTTTTATTTTTGTTATGAAAAGTCACGTTTTTTTTTGAGCCGGCGGCCTTTGTCGTCGAGCTCGAGCTTCGTTTCTGGTTCTGATTCCTTAGCCTCTGGCGTTACTTCGACTCGTAAACATGAAATTTATGTGTTTTTTAAGTCTTACTACACACACAGACACATGAACACAGATGTATATATATGTACAGATATCTATATATATATATATATATATATATGTTATGTTCCACATGTGATTTCTGTTAAATTTTGTTGTAATTTATTTTTGTTTACATTTTTGTGCCGCAAATTGAATTAGCGCCTCGCCAGAAAGAAAGCAAAAGTTATACATTTGATACTTCCCATCTCTGTACACACACACATATCTTCATATACCTCTCCAATACTCTGTCAAAACTTAATAAATGAGCCAACGAAATCGCTTGGAAAATGCCACATAAATTGCTTTGTCTCTGTTGAATGCCGATATTCGTCTTTCAAAAGCAAAATGAAGCCCAAAACTGTAGCAAAAAAAAAAACCAACAAGCTCAACTAAAATGTGAGAGGTGAGGCCCGAGACCAAAAAACTCTCGAGTCTGAGGACTTGGCATGACTAATCGATTCGATTTTTCGACTAAAAAGTCATGCCAAACTCTTACAGCAAATATGGTATATTGCCCCTCTCTCTCTGTCTCACTCTCTGTGTCGCCGTCACACTCACCCCTGAAGAGCAACAATAAATAAATATCGATAGCTTTGCCATGAAGCTTTTCATACAAATTTTACTTCATTCGTTTTGTCTTCGCCGCCCTCAACGAAACTTGAAAGTCACTGGACAAATTTTGTGAGCTCTTCAACTGCCAGCGACGACATTTGAAATTGCCATTTGAATGATGCGCCAAATACGTTGAGTGAGTTGAGAGAAACAGCAAGAGAAGGAGAGAGATAGAGAGATGAGTCTAAGAAGTAGTTCAGAGTTCAGAGACGGGATTTTGTGGCTTTAGCGCTTCAAGAAATCAGATCACTTCAACATCAATTTAAGCCAAGCGAACAGCAATAATAATTTGTCTTAACCAAAGGCATAAGATGATGAGATGTAGTAAATCAGATATTGAAATCAATTGAATAACCAAATTTATATTATTATTTATAAATAATTTAAGAAATATTTTATAATTTCTTATTCGATTTTTTACTTATGCAAAATATAAATTTTATTATTATTACTATTTATCTTTATCTCTTTGCACCCTTATTGAGCCATGTTTCAAAACTCCATTGGTGCGTTATACAACACTTGTACTAGCTATCGATAAACTGTTTAAATATATCTCATTTTTGTGTATCTTTCGACTGAAGAAGTTTGGGCTAAGGTTCCGAAGAAGCTTCGCCTAATCTTTATAAATATATTAGCTACGGACTCTGTTTCCTTTCAACAGTTTTTATATTCGAGTGTTAAGAAACACTTAATAGTATTTTTGAATCAATTCGACACCTTTTAAATATCTATTAAAATAAAATAAAAATAATTTAATATAATCAAGCAAATCAACTTAAGACTTTTACGGCCATTCAGTGTTGTAAACCACTGTTGGCACCAACAAAAGTTTAAAAAATTTAATTAAATTTGCTTGCAACTGGCAAATTATATAACTAATTGCACTCCGAATGCGCACAACTGCACAACAGGCAGCGAAATAATTGCACAACTTGAAGGAAATAATTTCGATTGGTTATTTTTTAAAATGTATAAAAAATGCCATAAATGCTGTCTAATTGGATTTGTTTTTGTTTTTCTATTGTCTTTCGTACGTTTTATGTATGTTGAAAGTGAAGTTAGTTACAAACTAATTTCATAGCTAATTATGTGAGTGGAGTTTCTGTGCCTCTTTCCTAACACTCAACTCGAAAATTTACTGGAGCGTCACTGAGAGAGATATTATCGAAAGTTAGCCAAGTCTTCAGCTGTTTTCCAATAGTGTAAAGGAACTAGTTCGTCTATACGATTCTAGGTTGGCAATGTGTGAGTAGGGCCAAAAGCCATTACGCATTTACCAACACTGAACTTAAGTTTTGTAGAATTCGATAATTGATTGAAATTCTATTTTGAAAGCGTGTGAAGCCTTAAGCATTTACCAACTGAATTTAAGTATTATAGAAATCATAATTCAAATCTTAACAATTCAGTGATGGGAAATTCATTTAGCATTTACCAACGCTGAATTAACATATTATAGAAATAATTTCCCTCTATCTCTCTTTATGTTTACATATTGAATTTCTTCAGAAAATTTGGTAATATTCTTTGGTTAATATCAATCCCGCGGCATTGTCTGTTTTCTTTCTTTTGCGGCGTATAAACATTTTTGGTTTCTATCAAAAATTTTTTTGTGCTCGCTTTTTATTTTTATATTTCTCTCTGCTGCTTCTGCTGCCGCTGCTGCTTCTTCTTCCCCAATTTTGATATTTTGAAACATGTGCTCGTCGACGTTCTGCTAAAAATAACACAAGTTGTTGTTGCCTCTCAACGAGTCAAAAAGCAAATGAGTTGAAAGCATGATCGAAAAACAAGCTAACATATATATATATATATATATATATATATATTCATGCAGCTGGAGGCGTCAAAAGATTTCACTTGATTTAAAACAAAAAACCATAAATTTATTGCAATTTATAAAAATAAAAGTAATGTAATCTTATTTTAAGCATATTGAAGTACAATAAAATGTCAAAGAAGACAGACATTGAAATGCTTGAATATATTTTCAACAAGTATATAAATATTTGCATATATATTTAATATAATATATGCATCTATATTTATATAAAAAAAAAAAATACCAAAAACAAAAATAAATTGAAAAATATATTTCAACGTGGTTTTTCCCTTTTTGCATCTGCGGCCTCTGGCCCAGAGAGCCGGCAGCTGTTTCGGATGTATCTGCAGCTGTGCAGCTCATCGCACTGT